CTCTCTCTCTCTCTTTTATCAAACCCGATGGAAATTTGCAGACAGCTAACGGGCGGATGACCGTTTCGACTTTCTCTCATCGCTGATCTCAAGCTTTGATTTCTGTGTTCCTCTTCTCTTCCCGCGCGTCACAATCTCTCTATTTTCTTTACATTTCAAATGCGAGTGCTCCCTCTTACAGAGTCGCCGTGCAATTTTCGCAGGGAACTCTTTCCCTCGTCTACCCAACTCGTGACGGTGCAACGTCGCTGGCGCGAGGGAGCGAGAGAGTTAGGACACCGAAGAGAGAGAGAGAGAGAGAGAGAGAGAGAGAGAGAGAGAGAGGCGAGGAGTTGAACACTCGTTGAAGCAGCTCATCAATGATGCAACCGTAGGAGATACACGATGCCACGCTTCGGCGAGGCACGATGGATGTCCTTGGGGGTCGATTTCGCCGAGGACGACACGGCATCGACGAATAATCACTTTTCCGAAGTATCCTCCGGCCGGCATTCTCACGGATAGCCGACCGCGCGCGCCGTGGATGATCATTTATTCAGGATGGGTAATGAATCGGACGCCCATGGGAGCGTCGTCATCGCCTTCGTGCGGATCGCCAAGCCCGTTCGTGCGCGCTTCCGTTGATTCCCAAAGTCCTGCTCGGAGACTTGACTGACGGTCGACCTCGAGCACTAATCTATCCTCTCTATCTGCGTTCCAACTATCGCTGCGTTTCGACGAAAAACGCGGACGACGTGCGGAGGAACGCGCAAATCTCGCGTTTTTCTTTTTTTTTTCCAACGCCGGCATATCTCGCGGTGTGGCTGAAGCAGCGAAGCGGCGAAGAGCATCCTTCGAAGCCACGCAAGCCGGAATTCGATCGATCTCTGACTGTATTAAGTCGGTCCGGCCAAAGACGCCTGATTGATCACCGGTACGCGCGACGTGCCCTCTTCTTACCCGCGACCGTAAGCGACCATTTGTTTGCCTCCCTTCCCGCTTGCCGCATGTCGCGAGCTATTTGTTTAAAGTCTGCGCGTGGCACGCGGAAGAAAGAGAGAGTCGCCTGTGTTCGTTATTAGAGGAGCCTACTGACAAATGGCCGCTTCCTCGACAGTTCGTCGCGGATGTCGATCGAAGGTCACGCCGCTTGCGAGAGAGAAAAAAATTATAGAGGGACGGAGAGGGGGGAGAAGTCGGCTCAGTCGGCGGTTCATTAGTTCAACGGCGGCCGGACGGTTTCGCCGTAAACAAAGTCGAATAATGCGTCTCTGACCCGCTCGTCGGGACGCTCGAGCGGGGTCAAGAGATTCCGGCGGATTCTACGTCAGCGTGAATCGCGCCGGGACGGCGCGCGTATTAGTCACCGCTGTTGAACACAGCGACTGTAACTACAAGTGATTGCGAGAGCGAAATTGCGCCTGTTCCTGCACGCCGCCGTCGACGGAAGGAACATATCTCCGTCGCGATCCGCGTGCGCGCGGAACGAATTAGCGCGCGGCACGCAACGTACGAAAATTGCATGAGGCTCTCTCTCTCTCTCTCTCTCTCTCTCTCTCTCGCGAGTTCCCTAATCTACCCTCTCAAAAATTCCATTAGCCGCGCGTTGTCCGGCGCTAATTGGACATTGACGTTTTTTAATCCGCTCGTCCCGCCCGCCCGCGCAAATGCGACTGACGCGCAAATCCACGCAGCTTCCGGTCGGTATCTGCGCGAAATGAGATTTTGATGCTCGCACCCGGCCGGCAAAACTCATGCCTCCCGGCACAGGCAAGAGGCAAGAGGCGAAGGGAAAAAAGGTCGAGCGCATCACCGCGCGTGGCCGCGAGACGCGGCGAAAGATGCGCGAACGTAATCTCTGGCGATGAAACGCGCCGGCGAACGATATGTCGCGGCCGCGCTGAGAGAGAATACGCGCCGATGAACGCGCGAGCATGCGCCATCGCTTTTCTCTGTTGTAATACGTAACAACGGGGACAAGCGAGAGTCGCGATACCCCGCGATACCTTGCATTTCCTCCAGCGGTCGGAGAGAATCATTTAGCTGAATTAAGAGTAATCGCGGCGCAAATAAACACGCCAAGTTGATTCACACTTACGCGTGGGAAAAGCTTCTTTTCATCGAGCGAACGTAACGCCGACAATCGGTCAGGCTCGGTGAACATCTTCATTTACCTCTCGCAATATCGATCGAATTTAAGGGGAGCGGAAGCTCGAGAGATGCGAATTAATGGTCTGATGCGAATTAACGGCAATCTCAATACCGAATAAACGTGACGTCGAAGCAGCTGGATAGAGCGGATATGAATCTTCGTTTGTCGCGGCATTTCAGGATATTGAATTTGAAGAAAAGGCAAACGGAGAAGAGACGGAGGGGGAGGGGGGATGAAGCGTTATTTCCGAAACGAGAGGACCTCCACTCCGGACGTTTGCCATCGACGACCGATTATATGGACGCCCGGCGTCTTCGCGCCGCGTTCAATGTCGAGATCAACCCTGAAGAATCGTCGCACGATCATATTTCCCTTCACCCCCACCCCCCTCCCCCGGCCGACGCACATCCGTATGTCGGATCCTCGCGCCGCTACATCACTCAGAGTTGTCACGGCCGGGACAGGTTACGACGTCCTCGGTTTCCACCAATTTGCCGACAACGCGCTCTCGCGCGTTTGCGGACCTGCGACCCCCGAGTTGCCGCGGGAGCGACGCGCCGCACGGGGGGATTGTAAATAATATGGAAAACCGGGCTCTGGATATAACCGGGGGAGGGGGAGGGGGAGGGGGAAATGCGACCTCTCGGCGTGCGACGTTCCGCCGAATGTGTGTACGTACGGGCAAGGACACGAGAAAAGGAATGCGAAAAAGGAAACGGAGCGATGTCAAGAGAGAGAGAGAGAGAGAGAGAGAGAGAGAGAGAGAGAGGGGGGATCGGAAAGGAGAAAGGGAGACTGGAGGAGGAGGAGGAGGAGGAGAAAGAGAGGACGACCGTTCAGGATAGCGTTCGGGCTCCTCTGACTGGCGCGGTATGTACACGGTCGCCCGACTCGCCATATTTCAAAGTGGGGCGTCCTCCGAGGGGCCGTGAATACCTTAATAGTCATAAGGTGTATCCGCATACGCCGGCTATATGGAGTTGTCCCCTAAAACGTATTCGAACGCTTCCGTAGCCGGCAGCTGCACGCTACCACCGTACAACCCCGGGCGATCGTTCGGCGCGCGCGAATAATGCGGCGACACCGCGCTAAAGTGCTCACGCTGCCACAGAAATGGCAATAGCCCGCCGCGATACTCGCGATTGGTACACAGCTCCGCGCTGTGCGCCGGAGTATTACGGCGGTAGCCGCGCGCTGGAGTTGGCGCTGCGAATTGTACGAGCAGCATTTGCAGCATTTGCAGCATTTGCAGCACCGCCCGCGGATTGCCGCCGGCTGAGTTTATCGCTGCGATCCGACTTATTGCGGCCGGCCATCGCCTTCACCGCCGAGTCGGCCGAGCCCGCGACTCTTGCAAGGATCGGGAAGCGAGCCGCCTCCAGCGAGGCAGATCTGCTCGTCAGGGAGAAAATCAAGGGAGAACTTCTGCCTCTTCGTGTTGGCGCTCTACGACAATTACGCGCGGCAACGCGCGGGGGGTTGCTTCAAGCCTCCACGACGCATCGCGAGCGTGCTCCGAGAGTTTTCGGTCTGTCTGATGGACTCATATGCGACAAATAAATGGTCGCAGGACGAAGAAATCGGTTATACACGCCGGTATATTTGACACACACACACACACACGGCCTGGCGCTATTTAATAATGAGAGGCTCTCTATTACTCAATGGCTGTTAGGAAGAGCGCCATAGGGGTGGCTTTCGGTTCCACTCGGTTCACGGTGCAATCGGTTAATCACCGCTCTCTCTCTCTCTCTCTCATCCCCGGCCCGCGCCTGAGACAAGGTTTAAGCGCCGACGTTGCCGCGCGCCCTTCGGCCCTCCCCACCGGTCCCCATATCAATTAATCTTACCCAGAATGCAATAACTGTCCAATCTGCTCCCGTGGCTGTGTCATGGTGTCGTGCAGTCAGTGCTGTAATGTCCTTCCTCTCTCTCTCTCTCTCTCTCTCTCTCTCTGTCTCTCCCGCTCTTTCTCTTTCTCCATTTATCTGTCTCGGCACGTCTCTCTTTCGCTCTCGCGAACGTTTTCCGACTTCCTCCTTGTCTCGCTCTGCTATCCTTTATGCTCTATCTGTGCGGCGTTTTACGCGACTAGATATATACGGTAAAAACAGTCTAAAGAAAATCTCACGTCCACCCTAACATCGCAGCGGTACGCTCCTGAACGAAATAATGAGCGCGCGCGAAGAGGGGAGGAAAAGCGGTCGAGTTCGAGGAAACTCGGCGGAAAACATATTGGGCCGTTAAGGGGTTCTTCGGGGTAGTCTGCTTAATTGGCACGGCCGTTTAACCCTGAATTACAGCGAGTGAAGCTGGAACGATCGTGATCCGGCAGTGCCAGATTCAACGGCCCTGATTAATCGAGCTATCGACTCGGACGAAGGGCGGATGTCACCGAAACTGAGATACGCGCTGCGCGCTCGTGAATTTTCACTCGCACGTGTACTCGCGCGGCTGCTTCCATTCCGTCTCTTCGTGTGATTTTCGGTGATTAATACATCAGTCAATGATTTCGGGCAATGAGCTGAAATTCCAGGTGAAAGGCACAAGGGAGGCTCGGAGGGTCGCCAGTCGAAGCTAGACAAATGTTTACAAATAGTAACAGCGTTTATTGTTAATAATAATAATAATAATGACAATAATATTAATAGCGAGTCTCTAATTACAATAATTACATAATGATATTAATGGTACAACAATAAAAACTTCGATAGCGAGAAAAAGGGGGAAGAATATAATAACTTTTTGGTGAGACCTCGGCGCGAGCGAACCGCCCCAGTCCAGTTTAGTCGGTTTCACGGCACTCCGCCACTCGTACGAGAGCCCGCCTCTATTTATAATATTTATAGCTTCGAGTCATTCATATTTATATTCATATTTATATATGTATATATTTATATGCTTAGACTAACCGTGGATACGGTCTACGTGCTATTTACAGTTTTTGGTCACAGTTGCAACTTCAGGGATCGGGTCCAACGCCCTTTCTTGAACGACAGGTGCGGGAGATATGCAAAATACAGTACGCTCTCGCCGTACTTTGACACGTTACACGCCATTCGGCGATCACGCTACTCGAATGTCTGTTCCTAATTTCGAGAAGGATGGAAAACCCACGAGTATCACCGAGCCTTTAGACATACAACAAAAGATAACGTGGTGGTGTAGCCTGGAATGGATTCCCGTTTATAACAGTGTGCTGCTTCGGGATCTTATCTTACAACGACCGCTGCGATTATGAACGCAGCTGCTAAAATCATTTACGCGTTCATCGAGTCTCTCTCCTCGAAATATCTGACTAGCTTGAAGGCCGCACCGCGTGTAGCGAGAATATCTACGTAAGAAGAGAAGTTACAGTAACAGGTAATCCATTAGCAGTAGGTAGGACGTCGATTAAAGTAGCAAGTGCTAGCCGTTACTCGTAACAAAAACAGTCGACAGTCCCCTCGCCCCACACATCCCCACGTTTTTGCGCGTTTTTGCGCATTTGCAACTTATAGGTAGCGATTCGTCAAAAAGTTCTTCTGCCCGAATAAAAGTCGCTGAAGGAACCAAACTTCAGGGCGTGCTCGCTGTTGCTTAGAAAGCGAAACGGATGCAACGCTTCCCCGTGGAATATCCGGCCGCGACAAATCACCGACACATCACCACCACCATTCGTCCTGCGAGTGTATCCCGCGAGTCGAGAGTCCTCGAGGTCGTTGGACACTCGCCTAAGACTAACGCGACCCCGACGAAACAAACGGTCGAATAAATATTAACTTTTACAGTCTCCTCGCACTAACTAAGCATCAAAAGATCGAGGGAAACACCTCGCGATAAGAATGCCACAAGAGCTCCTCCTCCAGTCAATTCTCGTCGTCCCGAGAATTCACTCCCCCGGATTTCGTGTACGTTCGTTTCATTCGTCCCATGAAAGATTGCATCTCGTACATTACCCGCGGTTGGATGATATCAACATTTTGCTTTTCGACAGTTTTTTCAAGTTTCGAAGCAGGACTCTCTCTCCCTCTCTCTCTCTCTCTCTCTTTGTCTCTCAGTCTAAACCACTTGCTTGTGTTGACGAATGTATATTTCGATTTTTTCTGCACGGTTGTTGCGAATTTCGGGATTGTTTAAATTCAGACAGGTCGTCTTGACAGATTGGTTACTCGTCAGAGACAAACAACTTTCGGAGGATGCACAGCGCCAGTACCTCCCGACAAGCTACGTCTTTTTCTCTTCCTCCCTCCCTCTTTCTCTCTCGTCGTAACACGATTCGCAATTCCCAAAAACAATTACAACTCGCGTTCCTTTCTGCGACATCTAATTTCCCGTCGCAGCACCGTCATCGCCAGGCAGGTCGTCATGGCGATCGTCATCGTCCTTGATTTCAGCGGCGAATCGTTCTCACAGTGATTAGTCCATGACACGATTAGCCCGACTCCTTGATTCGTGGAGCGGCCGTTAATCGCGACGATCCTCAATCATCGTCCGCAGAGACTCGGCGAATTGTCAGTCGCTGCCTCGCGGCCTCACTGCATCATCGGTGGATTTCCGCTGGGCAGAGAATTCTGCCCGGGAATGGAAGCCATCGGCGGTCGATGCGACGCGTTGAGGTCGGCGTGCTGAGTTTCGCGATGCCTCCTCAAGTCGACCTTCCGCTGGAAAGCTCGGCCGCAGAGCTCGCAGGCGAACGGCTTGAAGCCCGTATGTTTCCTCGAATGCGTGATCAGGTTGCTGCTCTGCGAGAACGCCTTGCCGCACACTTGGCACTTGTGAGGTTTTTCGCCTGCGATAACAAGAAAACGAAAAGTACTCAGAGAGGTAAGTACACTTATCTTGGACGATTCGATGTTTACCGATTAATCGACAGGCAGAGTTGCACTTAATTGAAAGCTGACCAAGCGACTGTACTTTTTATGTTAAGTAAACAATTGTTATTAATTGATCGCAGTTAATCGTAATTCCATTTATTGTTGTAAATAGCAAATATAATTGTTGGCCGTTGTTGTTGTTGAGTCAAATTATTTACACAACTAAAGAAAGATTGTTTAATTATTATAAACAGGAGATCTGTCGCATTCGTGTCGCTTCTGCGTTTTTCGTGTATTCAAACGTTTCAAGATATACGAAATACAATTTTTGACTATGTGCTGCCTGTCTATGTGTGTGAAAGCTTTTTATATCGCACGACATAAATTGGGAACCGCCTGGAATGAGAAAGTATCGGAAAAGCTCAACTGGGAAAATTCTGTTTTTTTTCTTCTTACGCACCCATCCCCCCCATCGCCCCCTTATTTTTTCAACCGAACAACGAAGCACAGAGTCCTCGGCCGTGGAAAACCGCTTTCCTACAAATTCGCCGTCCGATCTATCTATAAAGACACCGCATCTCGCCGAGCGCAACAAAGTTGGGTCAGGGAATCGGGGAAACTCCGGGGGCGCAATCTAGCTTCCCTCTTACGTTCGCCTGCCACATTCCAGCGAGCATGCACGTTAATCCCGAAGTACCGATTTTCAGTGCCGCCGGCTCTATCCCGCTCGGTCAAGACTCTCCACGCCGCTAAGAAAGGGGGTCGAGAGGGCACGAGGGATGGAAGACTAGCCAGCTCGCAAGACGACTGTAGGTGGCATCAGCGATGCGGGGCACGCCCGGTTAAGATTTCCTCCCAAGCGAGAATCTCAGCCACCCCGGCGGCGAGAAAAGGGAGAAAGAGACAGACCGAGCGAGAAAGCGAGTGGCGGAAAGGGTGCCTTGTGTGCGCCGCTGCAGGGGCTCCTCGTCTCTCTGTCAGGGGCGAGGAGAGCAGCCGGGGGTGGGGAAGGGTCGCCGCTCGTTTCTCTCATCCTGGCCGCGAGCTCTGATTGGCGGCCGGGGGCGGCACCAACCCCCGTGTTACCATGACTACCGGCGGGATAACCCGGCTGCTGCTGACTGAGGGTGAGAGAGAGAGAGAGAGGAAGAGAGAGAGAGAGAGAGAGAGTGAAAGAGGCTGAGGGGTGGTGGCACGACGACGATGCGAACTGTACGCCGCTGGCGGCCAACGGAGGGCCCGTTAATGGACTCCCCCGTACGTCCATACGTCTAGCCGAGCAACCGGTACACACGTACATGCTCTCACCCCCTCACCTTCTCGGCATCGGCACGGCGACGGGCGGAGGGTGGATCCATAAACAACTCGTTAGCCGAGCCTTCAATCTCGCCCGGCCGATACGACGAGGCCGTCGATCGCCCTCGCGCGCGATTATACCCGGCCGCGATCTTGATTTCCTATCCGGGAAAAAAATATCGGCCGCTCCTTCCGCCGCGGATTTTCTCTCGGGCCGGATGTGCGGATGCGCCGTCTTTGGCCTGAAATTCGAGTCAACGTGCCGCGCGATCGACGGTCTTGAGACTTCAGAAGACGGGATTTCTCCTAAACTCACGTTCGGTCCGCTAGTTTCTCTTCGAGCGGCGTCGAGTCGTCAAATTGTAATTTCGAGTTTAGCGGAATCCCCGGAGAAATCGTCCGAGACTTTTTTCTTGAATTTTTCGGTTACACGTTTTTCACGGGGAGTGCACGGGCCGTTTCTCTGGAAATCAAAGGCGAGGCAAATGGAATTTATCGCGGCGGCCTCGAAGCAAGGTAAAACTTTATTCCGTCATATCAGCGTCCGTCGAGCTTTGCGTATCGCGTCCAACACCTCGTGCAGTCATTTTATACGAACATCAGCCCGCATAGTTGCGCTGCCCTTCGGATCAAGATTCACGCGCGGATTCGGAGTTGATGGCGAGCTTTTGTGGGGGAGGGGCAGGTTCCGTAGGAATCCGACGAGTCCGCCGCTCGATGAAATTCCACAGAGTTCTCCCGAGCGAACCCGAGGGTGGGACGAAACGCTGGAACGGATAGAATTTTCGCGGAGTTAAAGCACCGGTGGAAGCCAGGACGGGGATGGCGCAGGGCGGCCGTTTGAAATTTATGAGCTCGTAAAATCAAGAACCGTCCGAGCGCTCGCACCGAGGTTGCCCGTTTCGCGTCTATATCGCAACGACTTCGCCATGGTTACGGAATATCGCTTCTGCCTGGCAGAGACCGCCAATCCGAAGATCCAAATGCCTCTCCTCTCTTGGTGTCAATCCTTTAACGTATGACTGATTAGCGGAATAGGACTGATTGGCGAGAGAAAGAGGAAGAATTTCCTCCGTTGTCCCCCGATTAAATAAAATGAGTGAAAAATAAATTTTTTCCTATAAGTATAATAAATTTCCTTCAGGAAAAGAATTTCATTTAAGTAAAATAAATTTCTGTTCTGTCAGTATAAAACGTTAGCAAAGATCGTTCTCTGATCCGCAAGAAACCGCAAGAAAGATTTCACATGTCCGATGTATTTACGCTTCTTTGCTTCAGCGTTATATATTACGCTATATATTATATTGCGTTATGTATTATATACATGTATTACATGTTTTATATATATATATATATATATATTTATTTGTGCGCCGTGTGTTTTGTATTTCACTCAACGGTATATATATAACGGTATACTTTAGCGAGCCGCGGATAATGCTGGTATTTTTATTCTTTCATATCGCGGATATAGCCAGCGCGAATTGTAGCATTTTTTAGCGGCCGAGAGGATATTAGGTTCCGCGCTCGTACGCGGGCGAGGGTGGCACTTTAAAATATCATTTCCTTGAGAAAACGAAGGATTAAGGGGACGGGAAGGAGGAGAGGGGAGGGGAGAATAATGTGTAGAAATGGAACTCCGGGTCTACTGGGATTCTCGTAGCTCGGAAACGAAGTAAAGAAAAGAAAGGCAGAGCGGAAAGAAGAGGAGCTGCCGGAAATTTACGCGCTCGTAAAAATCAAGAGCCGTCGGAACTCTCTTGGATCCGTCGGGTTTATTTCTTCTGTGGAATTGCCTGCTTCAAAATAGCCGCGTTAATAAATTCGTTGGGAGCAATGGCGTTGCCGAGATGATGCGATGTTCGCAGCGACGGTCGGCGTGAATATCGCAGTTCTTCGCGGGGGGAATTACCGTGGACGTTTGATTGATTCAATTACGCCGGTAATTAGCTCCGAGCAATTGATTACTCCTCTGCGGAAATTTTACTGGACGTGACGTGGATTGCTTATGCATAACCGCCGGTATTTCCTTGCAAGAGGATAAATGAGACAGCGCAGCTTCGGCAACGTGACCGGAACGATGATCGATGGATCAATAATCGCACGCGGAATTTCCGAGTGCGAGCCCGAACGAAAAAATTCCCGAAAGCAGAAGCGAGAGCGCAGAGAAATGTGGAAAATGATTGGCGCAAGTAGAATGTACGTGATCTTATGCGCGCGCACGAAAGGAACGTTCAGATGGCGTTTAATTCTTCGAATGCCGTAAAATGCTCAACGGTATTAATAAATTTCATAGTTGATCCTTCATAGCCGCGCAATTTGCGAGAGAGAGAGAGAGAGAGAGAGAGAGAGAGGTACCCTTTCCCTTTCAATTTATATATATAAACCAAAGGAAATTTTGCGCCCGCATTAAGATCGCGATCGCAGAAATTTCCCTCGCAATCGGTGTGAGCGAAATGCCATTTCCCGAAATAGTTCGGTAAAGCTCGATATGCAAAGCAAAACGGCCTAATGACGGATTCCGATAAATCAGCTTCGGCGCAGTTCGGCGCATAAATTTCCAGGGCGTGATTCGATCGGGATCGTGAGTTCCACACGCTGCGGTTTCAAAGAGAATAGAAGAATTTCCAAATGGAGCGGATTCGTGGCGGCGAGGGGAAAAAAGTCGAACGCGCGCGCGCGCGCGCGCCTCGCGGAATTTACGCGCTCATAAAAATCAAGCACCGTCGGAGAGCGCTCTTATCCTATCGTGTGCAGCCGAGAGGCAGCCAGCGGCTTCCGATCTGGATGCATTCTCTGTCGCAGGCCGCACATGCACGCGGAGTGGCGAGATCAAAGATTCAGCCGGCGGCGGTAGTTGAGATTCGACGCTCGCGAATTCTTAACTGTAGCAAGGTGGAGAAAGAGACAGACAGACAGACAGACAGACAGACAGAGAGAGAGAGAGAGAGAGAGAGAGAGAGAGAGAGAGAGAGGGAGGGGGAGAGAGAGAGAGAGAGAGAGAGAGAGAGAGAGAGAGAGAGAGAGAGAGAGAGAGAACGACGAGGCCAGCCTAGGAAGAGGGGATTTCTCCAGGCTGAGAGCCCCTGAGGTTTAAGACGCCATTACACCCCTCGGGCTGTCGGCCGACGCCCCTAAAACTATATTAAACTCCCGGAAATCTCTTGCGCGCGCGAGGGTGTTTCGCCTCCGCTAATTCTGCCGCCCCCCGTCTCGCTCGCGCACTCGCCCTTCGCGAGTGTCGTAAGTTCGACCACCCCCTTAGCGCGCGTCCCTCCCGCCCGGCGCGAGCCGACTCTCGAGAAGGAGAAACCGAGATGGCATTTTGATCGACTGAGACTCGACGACGCTGCGTGCGCGCGATCTCATGTGCGTTATGACGCGTTATTTCTTTTCTTATTCTTATTTATCGGGAACACGCGAGAGATACTGTGCTTTCTCGAGATACATCGCCCTCAACGTCTCGAAAAACCGATCATTAGAAAAGAAGCCAAAAGTTCGCTCCAAGTATCGATCTCTCGACCGTGCCGTGGCTATTCTGCGTTTCCAAATTTATGGAGAAAAGAACGAACAGCTGAACGAGATCGAGAGAGTAGAGGGAGAGACTGAGAGAGGAAAACGTAGAAAAAGAACGACGGAAGGGGATGGCGGTACGGGGAAGGTGGATTGGACGCTGACC